ACTCCAGAAAAGAAACTAAACAAAATGGAGACAAGCAATCTACCAGGTGTGGAGTTCAAAACACAGCTGACAAGTAGGCTCAATGAACATAGGCGAAAAACAGATGATCTCAGTGAGAACTTCAACAAAGAGATAGAGAGCATAAAAAAGTAAATAGAAAACATAAAAAAGAGCTGGTAAGAAATAAAGAATACAAAAACTAAAATTGAAAATATATTAGATGGAACCAACAGAAGATTAGAAGAAGTATTCTATCAAATCAGCAATTTGGTAGACAAGGTAGCAGAAAGCACTTTTAAATGAGCATTGTCACCTGGCCTTTGTCGCTCAGTGAATTGAGCATTACCACGTGGACTGAGAGGTCCCAATTCAATTCCAGGTCAGGGCATATACCCAGGATGTGGGCTCGATCCAGAGTAGGGGTGTGCAGGAGGCAAATGATTGATATTTCTTTCCCACATTGATGTTTCTCTCTCTCTCTCTCTCCCTTTCTCTCTAAAATATCACTAAAAACATATTGTATTTTTAATTTTTTTAATTTTTATTTTTAACTCATCTTTATTGTTGAATGTATTACAGATGTCCCCCCCTGTTTTTCTCATTGAGCCCCGCCTCCCCAATCTCACCCCTGTCTTGCCTTCCCACACTACTGTTGGTGCCCATTGGTTATGCATATATGCATAGAAGTTCTTGGTTTATCTCATCTCACCCACCCTCCCCCCTTCCCTTTGAGGTTCATCAGTCTAACGACCTATTTGTACTTCTAATTCCTTCATCTTTTTCACCCATCCTCTCAGCCCCCACCCATTTAGCAAGCAACCAAAAGTTCTCTGTATCTATGAGTCTGTTTCTGTTCTGCTTGCTCATTTTGTTTGTAGATTCAATAATTGATAGATATGTATTAATCATCATTTTATTGTTCATATTTTTGTTCTTCTTCTCTTTCAAGAAGACCCTTCAACATTCCATATAAAACTGGTTTGGTGCTGATGAACTCCTTTAGCTTTTTTCTTGTCTGGGAAACTCTTGATATGTCCATTGACTCTAAATGATAGCTTTATAGGACAGAGTAATCTTGGTTGTAGCTCATTGCTTTTCATCACCTTGAATATCTGTTACCACTCCTTTCTGACCTGCAAAGTTTCTTTTCAGAAATTGGCTAACAGTCTTATGGGAGCTCCATTTTAGGTAACGAACTGCTTTTCTCTTGTTGCTTTTAAGATTCTCTCTTTGGCCCTGGCCGGTTTGGCTCAGCGGTTAGAGCGTCGGCCTGCAGTCCGGAGAGACCCGGGTTCGGTTCCCGCTAAGGGCATGTACCTCGGTCTAGTCACTGTGCTATACACCTGAAACTAATATAGTATTAAATGTCTACTTTTTTTCTTTATTGATTTTTTCACTTTTTATTAATTTATTTTTGTTACAGATATTTCTTCTTTTTCCTCGCTAGACACCCTCCTCCCCACCCACCCCTCAGCATTGTTGTCTATGTCCATTGGTTATGCAGACATGCATATAAATTTTTTGGTTTATCTCTCCGCCCCACCCCTCTCCTCTGAGGTTTCCATATTCCTTTCTTTGTCTCTGGTTCTATTTTGTTCATCAGCTTATTTTGTTCATTATATTCCACAAATAAGTGAGCTCATGTGGTATTTGATTATTTTTTAATTAAAAATTGATGTGTCATTTGACCCAGTAATCCCACTTCTAGGAATATACCCTAAGAAGCCTGAAACACCAATCAGGAAGAATATATGTACCCCTATGTTTATAGCAGCACTATTTACAATTGTTAAATGTCTACTTTAATTGAATTTTTTTTAATTTTTAATAAAATAAATAAATAAACAAATAAATCCTGACAGGCTACTTAGAGAAATGGCTAATTCTAGGACCAGGGTAGAAAGAAACATAAATAAGATGAACCTGGAATGTCTTGTAGGCTCAGAACGTAAAAAAGTGCTAAGAAAAAGTCGGGGAGCGTGATACACGGAAACCACCTGAAAAAGCTCACAATGGCCAAAGTTGAAATCTTTTGAGCAACATAATAAATGAAATAGTCATGGATTATAACCCAAGGTATAAAATAAATATCCATGAGTCTATATTGATATAAACTGATAAAAGTAAATAAATGAGAAGGGACCAATGAGCTGTGCAGGAGAATCCCCCGTATTTTGCTAGGTACACCATCCTCAAGGAGGTGGAGCGTAAGCCCTGCTTCCTAAGTGGGGGCTGCACATGGCAATCTCCTGCCTCAGAGGACAGTGTGGAGAGGGTAGGGTTGAGGGAATGGAAGAATAACTTTGCAGCGCAGATATCTGACAAGAGATTGAGGTCAACATCAACAGTGTAAGTCATGTGGACAGTATGCACCCTTCAGGTGATGCACTTGACCTCTGTGGTCTTCCTGAAAAAACACATCACCTCAGTCTAATCATGAGAAAAGCATCAGATAAATCCCATTCGAGAGGCATTTTATAAAATACCTGACCAACACTGCTCAGAACCGTCGAGGTCATGAAGAAGGAAGGAATGCCCAAGGAGACGCAGGAAGTAGGAGAAGGAACTGTGGTGTGGTGTCCTGAATGGGATCCTGGGACAGGGAAGGACAGTGAGTGGAGGCTCGGGAAATCTCAATGGAAACACAGACGTTAGTTAATAATAGTGTAGCAATATTGGTTCAAATTTAGCATACTAATATAAGATGTTAATAATCAGGGAATAAACATAGAAAAAATATTGTGTGGCATATATGGAAACTCGGTATTCATCAGTTTTTTGTAAATCTAAAACTGTTCTGAAATTTAAAATCTGTTTTAATAAAAATGCCCTAGCCTCTCACTTTGGTGAAATGCTTCTCCTTTACCCTCCTCTGTTGAAACCGGACTCTGTCTTTCAACTCAAAACTTAAGAAGCCTTCCTAATTCCTCAGAGATAAATGGTTTCTTCCACCTGTGTGTCCAGAACCCGGGACTTACATTATGGTGTTAATTTTCATTCATTTGCTTATTGCTTCATTCATTCAAATACAGAGTATCTACACTTGTTGTGAGGAGGCTAGCAACAACCTTGACCCTGACTGAGCATAAAGTTTGCCTGGGGTCACAGACCTCACAACTGTGCAAGGAAATGTCAGAGATAAAACGTCGTGCAAGTGAGGGGGTGTTTTCTAAGAAACTGACCTTCGTGTTCACAGGCGAGTTAACTGGGTGAAGGCAGCTGAGTAGGGGGGAGTGTGGAGGGATGCGAGGTAGGAGGAAATATTCCTGGTGAAATCATATTTGTGAAGTTTTGAGGCAGAAAGAAAGGTGGCATCCCCAAAGAAACACAACATGGACGAGACGGTCGGATGACTGTAGGTGCATATACGGTCATTTTACTCTGTCAGTGTCAGTGCAAAGCCCATACACGTGTTATCTTGGTTCATACTCACATAGTCCCATGAGGTAGGTTTATTATTATTCCTTTTTCACAGATCAGAAAACTGAGGCACCCAGATAGTAAGTGACAGAGCTGAGATCAGACTAAAACGAGCTGGTCTGAAAGCCCAGACTCTCCCTCCCAGTGAGGGCGGCAGGATCAGTCTGCCCTAAGTCAGAGATCCTTGTGTTTTTCTCACATGAAACCAGGGTTTCTCAGCCTCGGTGCTACTGACATTTGAGCCAGGTAATTGTCTGTGATGGGAGGCTGTGCTGTGCATTGTGGGATGTTTAGCAGCGTCCTTGGCCTCTACCCCCTAGATGCCAGTAGCACCCACCTTTCACCAGTAACGATGATTACAAATGTTTCCAGATTTTTCCAAATATTATTAGTGGGAAGGACAAATAGCCAGATCACCACAGCCCCCATCCCTGTACTGAGAAAAACTGATCACACTGTAAGTTCTCAGGACAGGATGGAGCTGTCTCCAGTCCCCTCTCCTTTCTTCTTCCCCCGCCCCCCCTTTCATCACTGTATCCTAAGTGCACCGTCTATGGGCTGAGTACATGTTCCTTACAGTTTATAACACATTACCTTCTGTGTAGTGGTTGCTAACGAATGCTTGTCGCGTTTCTGCCAACTGAATTCTAAATGCCAAGAATCTTAAATGTTATGGACCACTTCTTGTCAAAAGAAAAACATTTTCCTGAATGCAGAACTTGATGTTAGGGAAGTTCATTTCTGGTTGTTGGTCACTTGGAGTATCCATTCTGTCCCTGGATAACTGGATGTCCTGCCAACTGGAAAGACCCACCTGACTGCTCAGCAAACGTCTGGACAGGCAGAGCAGCGCACCTGTGAAGAACCTGGCGGAGAGGGACGTGCATGACGAGGCTGGCAATGGATGCCGCTGAGCACGGCTGACCCGTAACAATTAGGGAAAGCCGTATGCCTCAGTCTCTGATTTGAGGTGCCATATAAAGCACATACCCATTTTCCCCAGCAATTATTTCCATCATTTCTGGATGGGATCTGGGTTTGGGAAACAACTCCCAGTTGGAGTTTCGGTGACCCCCTTGAGAGTGGGCGGGCAGTGGGAGGGAGAGCTGACTCTGGCCTGTCCCCCTGCCTCTGCAGGTGCTGCATCACTGGAGGGCAGCTGCCTGTCATTAACGGGAGCTCAGAGAACTGCAAACCAAAGATAGCGCAGGCGTGAGCTCCCAGGTGGCGCCTTCATTTGCTGGCAGCTCCAGGCATTCTTGGTGCCACCGCCTTTCAGCACATCAGCCCGAATCGCCCCTCCTGGGGGCGCTGCCCGGGTGCCTTAGTTGCATTTGAAGTGTAGTGCTGCGATGCCTGTTGTCTTTGCCAAGGTCACACAGACCTGGTACATAACCATGTCTACACTACATATGTGTGTCATGGGGACAGGGTGGGAGAGAATCCCATAGGAATCAGGCCTCACTGCAACTATTTCTATTACTTCTCACTTTCTCCAACCCTCCCACACATGCCCCACAGGCCTAAATGGCTGCTTGGAGTCTCTCTAATCAGATTCCCTGTTCCATCTCTCTCGCCAGAAGGAGGGACATGTGAAGTGATAGCAGCGCACAGATGTTGCAATAAGAACCGCATTGAGGAGCGGTCGCAGACAGTCAAGTGCTCCTGTCTACCCGGGAAAGTGGCTGGAACAACCAGAAACCGGCCTTCCTGTGTCGACGGTAAGTGGCTGGTCTTACAGCTTTCACCTTGGTGTCCACCATGCAAAAATATCGTTTCATTTCAACAGGTTCAGGAAAATGACCACGGTGCATCCAAAGTGCTGGCAAAGTTATGCAGATGCCAGCCCTCAGAGTAGAGTTCGAATACTTGTTTCTCAGGCTTTCAGATTTTTAAATAGCTATTTCAACAGTTTTAGAAAAGAAATATGAGGGTCTAGCTCATTTGGGATGTCATTTGGGGTTGAGGTTGTATATAATGATAATGGTGGTGATGGTAGTAAAGAAAACCATACTTAACATTCATTTAACACATATTTAATGAGCATTTACTGTAGGCCAGCCACTGCTTGCATGCTTCACATACCTTCATGATAGAAGTGTGCCAAGCACTGTCCTCAACACTTCTCAAGCGTTAGTTATTTACTCCTCTCAACAATCTCATAGTAATTATTTGTTGCTCCATAACAAATTCCACCCCTACAAAAAGAAGAAGAAAAACTTAGCAGCTTTAAGTAACAAACATCATCTCAATTTCTTCCCTGAATGATTCTGGCCAGGGTCTCTCATGTAGCTGCAGTCATGATCTTGCCCAGCCGGTGTGGCTCAGTGGTTGAGCATCGACCCTGCACCAAGAGGTTTCTGGTTCGGTTCTCGGTCACGGCACATGCCTACGTCGTGGGCCCAATCCCCAGTGGGGGCATGCAGGAGGCGGCCAATCGATGTTCTCTCTCTCATTGATGTTTCTATCTCTCTCTCTCCCTCTCCCTTTCTCTCTCTCTAAAATCAACAAAGAAAAAAATAAAAAAATAAAAAAAAGATCTGACTGGTGCTGGAGGATGGTGCTAACATGACTCACTCACATGGCTGTTGGCAGTGGCCCGAGTTCCTTGCCACATGGACCTCTCTGCAGAAGTCTGGTGTTCTGACAACATGGCATCTGGCTTCCCCCAGAGTGAGTGACCCAGGAGAATAATGCAGAAGCCACAGTGACCTTTTCTTTTGTTATCTAAGCTCAGAAGTTACACTTCTTTGTTTCCATGATACCCTATAGGTTACACATGTCAGCCCTATCTGTTGAGTGTGAAAGTGGCCTACAGAGCTTGAAGACCAGGAGACAGGGTCATTGGGCCAGATACACCTGCCCTCCATTTAAAACATGAAGAAACTGAGGTGTAGAAGGGTTAAGTAATGTTTCATTGGTCCCACAGCTTGTAAATTGTAGCTCAACTAACTCTTGATCCCTAAGTACCTGACTCTAATAATACTAAATTTGAGTACCATCGTTAAAACAATTTTATATGTTCTACCAAACAGTGAGTACAAGGTTCAAAGGGACCACAAATTCCTCTTCCCATATTTAGCTTTGATGATTTTAGAACCAGGTATGAGTTGACCTTCACACTCTTCAGTAAGGAAATTAGGACTCAGAGAAGTCAGTCACATATTCAGGGTCATACCGCAGGAATTGGAACTTGGATCTCCTGGCTTAGGGCTCATTCTTCTACCTCCAGATATAGATGGAAAAAAAACACCTAGATTGGTTCATATTATGTATTTTACTATGAATCATTAGGTGGTTAGTAAGAGAAACACACTCAAATTATACCAAGTAAAGAAGAAGTTAAAAGGATGTAAAAGCCCAGCCAGTGTGGCTCAGTGGTTGAGCGTCGACCCATGCACCAAGAGGTCGCCGGGTCAATTCCCAGTCAGGGCACATGCCCAGGTTGTGGGCCAAATCCACAGTGGGGGCATACAGAAGGTGGCCAATTGATGTTCTCTCTCATCGATGTTTCTCTTGCTCCTTCTCCCTTTCTGTCTCTCTAAAAGGAATAAAGAAGAAAAAAAAGGATATAAAAAAATGAGGTTAGGAAATACGCTGTGACCTATAGTTCCCAATCAGGGTGATTCTCAAGGGTTATTTGGCAATGCCTGAAGACATTTTGGTCTAGACATTAGACATTTGTTGTAACTAAGGGGGCGCTACTGGCATCTGGTGGGAAGAGGACAGGGATGCTGCTAAACTCCTACAGTGCAGAGGACGGCCACATAACAAAGTATTATTCAGCCCCAAATGTCAATGGAGCAACATTTGAGAAACCTGCACTGTGATTCTTTCTAGATTCCAGTTGACACAATGAGGCACCTCCAGTGCGAGGAAGGCAGGCAGCTGGGCCAGAAAAGCTGTCTCACCCTCTTCCAGGAGAAAACTCTTGGCCCTAGAAGCCAATGAACATTATGAAACCATGATGGTTTCTCATGTTCTCTGCCAAAGAAAGCACTGAGTGTATTAACTATAAATCTCCATTTTGTTTCCAGTTCATTTTTATCTCTAATGATCTAGAAATAGAATTGCCTTCAGGATTTGGATGCAAGACACCAGGAGCAATGCAGCGTCTCTGCTGGCAGAGGGGGAAGGCCCAGCTGGCCCGGAGTTTCTGTGAGAAGTTAAGCCCTATAGGGGTAACATTTTGTCTCACAGACTTTGGAAACTCTGAACCCTTTAGTGTGGTAGGTTCAGGCAAAAGGGCAATTAGTCTACCTTCCAAGTGAAAGTAAAAGTATAGAGTGGTCTACAGTCTCAAGCTGATTGTTCAGTTTTTTTGACTCTATTGGCAGATATGGGAAAAGTCTGTGTCTTGCTATGATCAAAATTGATTTAATGGCCTACATCTCTATATGCAAACTAAATATGAAGTGCATATATAAATTAGTTTTCTAGTGTAGTCATTAGATCATGAACTGTGAAATTAAACAGCCATGGCCTTGAGCAAGTTACATTTATTTTCTAACCTGTTTCCTCATCTGTAAAATGGGGATAATAATTGTTTCTACTTCATGAGATTGTGAAGAGGATTAAGAAAATCATATGTACAATGTGTTTTGCATATGTCTTGTTCCCATAAAATGCTCACTAAATAATGATCTCTATTTTTCATTTTACTAATACATGTAGGTAATGCTTAGAAAGAGGCATTGCTTTACACAATTTACACACACACATATGTAAATGCAACACAGTGGAATTTTAGTCATCATCTCCTCTTGGAACTGCTTCTAAATATTTTCTATGGATATAGCTAATGCCATATTCAGGAATACATGTTCATTATAGGAATCTTGAAAACTAAAAAATGCATCCATACATTAAAATCACCCATGACACTGTGGCTCAAAGATTATCATTGCTTTGTAAGATAATATGTATATGTCTTTCCAGCCAAGTCTTTCTCATTAAATAGAAGCTTGCGTATTAGATATTTTATTAAACTAAAATATTATAGTACTGTTCTATCACCAGCTTGTTTCATGTAATATATAATGAGCATAGAACCTTCTAATTTTCACAGTTATGAAAACTGCATGTTTGTTTTTAACTATTATTATATAGTTACCATAATAAAAATACCATCCTGGCTATTTTGGTGAAGAAAACCCCCACAATATATCAAGATAAATTGCTCCTTGATCATCATACTTAACCTCTAGGATCAGAGACAGAGAGATCCAGAAAGAAAACTACATAAGACTACACCCAGGAAGACAAACAGGCTTCCAGAGAAGGAGGCAGACAGACTGGGCCATAGGGGGACATGGGGGGTCAGAAAGAAGGGTAATTAAAGAAAGATATGAGAATCAACAATTAGAAGGAATCTAAAGCATCCATCCATAAAACTGCTTCCTTCATTGCTCCAAACAACTTCTGTGTATTCAGTCTCACAGTTTAAAACTAGTTTTAACTAAATACAGTGTATTGAGTAGATTGAGACTTTAACTTTTTCAAGTTGAATTATATATATTCCAGAACCAGAATCTCTGAACAATTTCTTCTGAGATTGCTCCTTCCGAAAATACAGGATAAAAGTTTTGACGACATACCATCATATACCTTAGAGACAGCTGTGGTGGAGAATAAGGCCTGAGAATTGGAGGAAACTTGAAATTCACCAGCAGTTATCTATAGAAGACCATGAAATGTACATGACAGAGATGAAGTACCATAGCCCCTTCCTAGCCTTCCACAGCCTGATAGCCTATCTAAGGTCCTGACAACTTCCACAGGCAATAACTTGTTGAACTTTAACCCAGTATTTTCCACACTTTTTTGTTTTCTTTTTATTAATTTTATTTTATTTTATTTTATTTATTTATTTTTTTAATCCTCACCCGAGGACATTTTTCCATTTTTTGTTCAGGTAGAGTAGGAGGGAGAGAGAGGAACTGAGAGAGAGAGAGAAACATCGATGTAAAAGGAACACATCGAGTGGCTGCCACCCGCACAACCGACCAGAGCCGGGGACAAACTGCAACCGAGGTACATGCCCTTAGCAGGAACCAAACCCGGTTCTCTCTGGACCTCAGGCCGATGCTCTAACCGCTGAGCCAAATCGGCAGGGCTTAATTTTATTTTTTAATTACAGTTTACATTCAACATTCTTTTGTATTAGTTTCAGGTGTACAGCATAATGGTTAGAATTTCTGATTTTTACAAAGTAGTCTCCCTGATGTTTCAATTACACATTTAAAAAAATTTTTTTTTCTTTGTTGATTTTAGAGAAAAAGGGAGGGAGAGGGAGAGAGAGATAGAAACATTGATGAGAGAAAACATCGATTGGCCCCTGGGGATTTGGCCCACAACCTACGCATGTGCCCTGACCAGGAATTGAACCGCAACCTCTTGGTGTGTGTGTCAGTGCTCAGCCACGGAGCCACACCAGCCAGGCTCAAGGACACATTTTAACGTTAGAGCCTTTCTCTGTGTAGTGTTTATTCATATCCCACAGACCCAATATTCTGTGAACTAGACTTTAGGCCATGCTGGTATAGACTACATGGACAACATCTTTGTTTTTGTCTGTGGAAATAATTTTTAGGTCTTCCTGGGCTGACTGATCATCGCTCTGCCAACAGCTCGGTGCTTTTCCTAGGACTGGCTGAGCAAACGCTGCACTGCGGATGCTGGTACCGACGTGATTTATAGGATCTCAGGGACATGCCAGACT